CACTATCTCTCGGGTCTTCTAAATTTTTCGACTGAGCGACACTTTTTCAGTAAATTGGACGCATGCGCAAGAAGATCTGACTTCTGGAATACTACTTACCCCGCCCCGGAGCTCGACGACGCATACATCAACCAGTGAGTACACAGTGGTACCTTGGTCATTGACGTCGAAGCACTTATACACCCTCGCAACGGCTTACAACTGTGGGTGATAGACAACTGGAAGACATCAAGGAGAGAGTTTGAGTTCGAACTTCCTAAAAATGCTACCGGAGAAAATCGGACTTTACGATGCGCGACTTGGAATATCCTGCTCAATGACATACAGTCTCCTCCAGACCGGTTATGACCCATCCTACGATGAGGATAGCCGCGATCTCGGTTGCGAGAGCTCCTAACTTATGTCGGAGTGTGAGCACACTGTGTCTCGATGGTGGCTACACTCTCGGTGATAAAGTGTTCATGATATTATTGCATGTCTTGTAAATGACCACTCGTAAAGATTATCGTTCAGCTCGTATTTCGGGGTAAAAACCCTGGTCAGCCAGAGAAAATCAACCCGTGCTCATCTGAGTGAGTTGGGAAGGTAATCTTTCGAATCAATCTTTCACGACCATACAGTACTACAAGGTACTCACAGGTGTGTAGGACATCTCCGTCCAAGTCGTTTCTTCTCTCTCATCGCCGTTGGTCCGCGGATGGACGCGGACGTCCCGACCGGCGGCTAGTGATCTAGATCGCTAACTTGATTAGCCTTTTCGACGCTGGCCAGGAAGTGTGCGCGTTGGTGTTCCAATTCGGGCGATTCATGACCGCCAGATATCTGGTGGGCAAGGTCCATGAACTTTCCCAGAATGCATTCGTACTCCCCCAGAAGTTTGCCCCAATCCTTGGAGATCTTGAAGTTGCTATTCACGTCGTATATGTCGCCCGCCTCGGCATGCGCTGGCTGGAACAACTTGATGAAACGCTCGAAGAGCTCCTCCAGAGTTCTCAAGGTGAACATCGGATGGCGCTTGGAACCCCCCATATCTCCGATTAGGCAGAGGTCAAACTGGAACCGTTTCAGAGCGCAGCTTCGAACGCCATAGAGGAAGGCGTGGATCCGATCAGATAACTCGGAATCCTTTTGGATGGGGTACTGAAGAGTGGGCCAGATTGTGGGGACGAGGGAATATAACAGATTTCTGAGGCGCGTAACGTGAGCATCGTTCGCCACACCGATGCTTTGTAGTTTACAGTCCACAAGAGCCTCGTCGTCATCCTCGCCTGACCTGTTGGAACCAAAAGAAGAGGGGACAACGATAGGTCTCTTGAGCTCACAATCCTCGTGTTGTTCCCGCTCCAGAGACAGTAGGAGTAATCCCAATCCTCGCTCGGCCTCGGTGAGCTTCTCCCGAACGTCCTGAAGGACAGCGCGCCTCTTCATGTTGAGAAGTACTTCCCAGATCCCCACAGTTTCTTGCAAAGACTTGTCGATCTTGCTGAGCAGGTCAGCGCGGAGCCGTTGTGCCTCGGGATCAGCATGGTTGATGTGCGCCACTACGTCTCGTTGATGTTCCAGGTGCTGATAAATTCGAGATATGTGAGAAGCTACCGTCTCAAACGGACCCGACTCCTCTTCAGTCCGAGCGACTAGTACAGCGGGACTCAGAATTTTGCGGAAGTTCACCGTAGAGAGCTCTCGAGCCAGTCCATTGTAGTACTCCAGGTGTTGGTTCAGAATATAAAGCAAACATGAGCGAGCTCTAGAGTAGGAGGTGTGCCTTGTTTGAATGTGATGTCCTAGATGTTCACGGAGAGTCCAAGTGGCATTTGTGATGAGATCCAAGGTACGAGCATATTCCTGCTTGATAACAGAGGAAGCGCGGGACAAGAAGATTTGGTTGAGTCGCGAGTATAGGTCCTCTAGCAGCTCCGCGTGCTCGATCAAAGCAGTGTTATCTCCCCTACGTGGCAGAACCGCAACGACAGTATCTCCTCTGGGCTCGCAGTAAAGCTCGATGGCTTGCGGAGTATAGAGGGCAGCCTGGTTTGTCAATTCCTGCAAATCCCTGAGTTGTTTACGAACGTCGCGATCCTTACAAGAGAAGGTCGATCGGGTCTGCCAGATTGCGACCTTTGACCTAAGGTTCCGGTGGGGTTTCTCCCGAGGAGGGACAGGCGGACCAATGAAGCACAGTGAGTGTGGATCTTTCACGTCGAACTGAAATAGGCATGCAGTCAGCAATCACAAAGAAAGGCAATTCTACCATCACGTACGGCGTATTCCCGCTGATGTTGGGTGCTCCCTGCCACAATCTTGTGCGCGACTCCTCCCTTGGCGTGCTCCTCGACACTCGGCATATCGATCGATGCACTGTAGGCGGTACCCGAGTCAAGGTAACTCGCGCTTGAAGTGGATGGGGCGATGGTAAGAGAACCTTCCGCGGTGTGCGACACAGATGGGGGAGCAAGAGAAGAAGTCTCTGCATAGCGCCGTGGGGGTGGAAGGTAATAAGAAGCAAGCGCATCATGATTTGACCATGAATGCGTAGCTGAGTTTAGCGCACCTGATAATTGGGAAGTGCTTGATGTCGGAAATTCGGAACCTCCAGGTGATCCAGTGTGGCGAGGGGGTCTGGTACGCCCATTGCGTCCAGAGATGCGCCCCGACCGAGAGGCTGACTTCGAGAGCTATTGTGAACGTTGAGAGAAGGAATTGTGCGTGCAATATACGACGTACTTTCACTCCCATTACTTCAACATCAGCGGTGACCTTCCAATCCCAACGATTCTGGGAAGCCGACCCGTCTCCGCGATTTTTGGGAAGAGACATGATCAAGTGATTCTGGAGAGGCTGTATGCGGGGTAAGGCAATGTCAGTTTTTGAGAGGTTCAGGATTAGGCGTACCGATCTTCGTCTTATAGTTTGAGCATGACGGCGCCTGGGTGTGCAATGTTTGGACCAAGAGAATACAATACCTTCTTGTCACCAACAGTGTTGCCATGATCACGATGGGTCCCACGGATTGTTGTAGTGACTCACGGCGTCACCTCAGGGTTGCAACCTGCATTATGGTAAAACAATAGCACCCATTTGTTGCTCAAGGATGAATGGGAATCTTCGGTGGCCCAGAGTCATTGGCACTGGAGAGCATTACCGTCATGCCAGGGTCAATAAATGCACATACCTTAATTACAATGACGAGGTTGCGACATTACAGACCATCGAGTAGTCAGGCAATCTGTTGGACCATATGTACTGGACTCCACAAATCCAACTGCAGGACGATAGACATCAGCACCAGCCCGTTTCCTTGCATGTCGGTCTTTGGCGTACTCAAAGATTGTTACCATCGGTGACCAGTTTAACGTTCCACGTCCTATAATCACCGTTAACGAGAGCATTTTACATCAGTAGTATAACAATAAGACTGCTAATATACTTACTCTCTGTCAGGTCGCATACCGACGATGATGCCATTAGGCCCATAGTAATGGTCTAATGTTGACCTTGGAGTCAGTGGCAGTCCGCCACAAACTATGATTTCAAACAAGTCGGAAAGAGTAGTTCTGGAAGTGGAAAGGTAGGAATAGAGGCTTTGCCTATTTTGACAATGTGACTTGGACGGGTCTGCACATCACAAAATCCGCCCTACAACTATGCGCCTCGGACGTTTCCGTGCGCTTACAACCGCTTGACAACCATCTTGAAGACGATTCCAACTTTCCCCAGTTTGTATCCCGTGTGCATCATTCTCATTGATTATATCAGTGTCACAACGTGTTCCAGGGATAGAGGCCCCCAGACGGTCGAATACGGGCAAAAAATCATCTAAATTCGCGAAGGTTGTGGGTCTCCCGGCCCCTCAAGTTGTCTTCCCTCTCCTTGACTCCTATGATCATCTTACTCTTGAGAGCCGTTTAACGAGGCCGGCCCTTTCCTCGACTTCTCAATTCCTTATTGAGGTGAGCACCTGCGCCCCTATCTTTTCTGCTTGCCATTTGAGTCATGATACACATAGTTGAGTGAGGCTCGAACTTCACAATGAATCTACTCGGAAGCAGCAAGTCGTTCTCTTCCTCATTCATACCATTTCTACCTCCCTCAACGATGTTTTGAGTTTTCAGGACTATGCTTCCAATTCTACGGCATATGATTCCCTAACGAACTCAGCCAACATCACATGTTAGATGTGCTCAACTGCCCTGGTGGTGTCAGCCATTTACATCGGTCACAACCGGTTTTGATTCATACCACTCACAGAACAAACTGCGTGCGGAGGCACACGGATAACTCACAGATATCGCTACAATTACTATTGGGCTGTAAGTTGTCACACCATGATGTTTTGAAGTTTCAGAAGTATTGATCTGCTTCCAGTGCTTTCGAGTTCACTGAAATCATGTTCGCCGACATTGCTCGTAGGGAAAGGGCTTAGTCGCTTTGTCACAGAAGCTCGGTGCCGATGAAGTAGGCCCTCTTAAATTCTGGTACTGCAGTTGATAATGACTCGGAGTAGCTACACATTGGACGTCTGGACAGCCGAGCTGTAGCTGTACTAGTTAGCAACGGAATAATGACAGGCCTGAATATCCATACGAACGTCCTTAGCGGCGAATACTGAAAAAAACCATGAAGGTTACAAGATGGTTATAATATTGCGGGACTTTCCAAAGTGATGAGGGATTACATAGATCGTGTTTGATCGTCACCAACTTGAAGCACCTCCGAAAAGGCTATGAATAGCACTGGTATCCGGGCACAAATAATGGTATGGTTGGAAACTTTCAAAAGATGGAATTCTTCCACTATGCTGTAACCCAGTCATCATCGATTCTACCCCCATACAACTGTACTGGAAGCTCAGGACCATTTTTGCGATACAGTCGCATTATGTCACCGCCTCCTGCTGACGAGTTGCCTTTTGGGGACAAACGGCATTTACCGAGTAGGACCGGAAAGTACCGAACAGGGGAAAGTATCAAATTGAAAAAGGTGAAAAAAGTGTAGCCGAATACCGACGACGGGACTCGAACCCGCAACCTTCGCCTCTTCCGTAATCTCCGAATGCTTACGTAATCGAAATAGGAAAGCGACGCTCTACCATTGAGCCACGACGGCTACGATAATGTGAGAGACGATATTGTTTATGGCCATCAAATCTTTGATTTGAGATTGTCCCGGGGGTCCAAAGTTCGGTGAAATATAGAGGAACGGAAGGCATTTCGTATATTACAGGAGCTCTAGTCAACTGCACCATGTTAAGAGGAGTATAATTTCGGGAAGTGCCGGGTGGGCTTACACGTGACTTCCTGGTCTTGAGCTGAAGATCGAGTCCTCCTCTTGGCGCCACAGTTGTCTTTTCTCGCCAGCCTTCACCGCTATGTCAAAAGCACTCAGCAATGGCACGCTTAGCCTCAAATTCATGCAGAAAGCGCAGCGGGCGAAGCAGGAGGCACAGGTTGTAGCCCAACAAGCCAAGGTTCAAGACGAGGCGGAGTGGGAGGTTCCTCAGGAAGTCAAAGAGCAGTGGGGTATTGGGAAGTCGAGTACGGCACATTCACGGTGAGTGCACCGTTAATCTTACGCGTTTTTTGACTGTTGACATCAAAGCACGTAGCTCTTCGGGGAGCGCGACATACGAGGCGTCGTATGTCCCGTCCATGTTCACATCGGTCGGCGACGATGACGCGGGATCACCGTTGCAGGCAGGACTGTCTTCCCATATGAAGGGTCGCAGAAAGTTCAAGCACGGGCAGGAGGTAGTGGCGGAACCGACGGTATGTCCACAATCGCCGGTGGAATCAACCCAGATCGACTTATGGCTGCCCAGAAAACTGAATCTCGGGAAGAAAAACAGCCAGGTGCAGAGGACGAAGAGCCTGGCGACACATCTGACGACAAACGCAGTAAATGGAGCGCGCCGCCGATCCCAACAAAGCCTTCGTTGAAGGAGAAGCTTTCTGGACGAACAAAGACGGTCCAGGAACTCATTCGCGAAGATACGATCGCCCAAACCCGAAAGCATGCCTCGCCGCTCTCGAGATCAGGTCCCGTAATGCCTGTTGCTTCCTCCGAGCCGGTTGGGTTTATGAAACCAGCTGGCGTGGACGCACCAAAGGTACCCGCCAAATCGAAAAACAACACCGCGTCTTCCAGTGGAACAAAGCATCCGCGCGATCAGGATGGAGGGAAGGAGAGGAAGAAGCGGAGAAAGGTCATTCAGGAGATAGCATAACACGCAATGGGTGTTGTCTCACCAGCATACCTTATGACTTCACCGGTTGGCGGTGCGTAATACTACCCCGCCTCGATCGCTGATCAGAGCTCGTATACAGCCGCTATGCACGGGCTTTTTTGTCTTTTCAGTCGTGGAAGGCCCACCCGTCTGTCCCCACCGTCATACCAGGATGTCCTGATGACGACTTCGCTCTTTCCCCGCAGGCTCTCCCGCAGCCCTTTTCGCCCCATTCACTGTCCCACCACCTCGATGTGAAGCCGCACAGGACATCCTTCTCCTTCGGTTGTCTGATCTTCCTGGCGTTCGGGTCCTTCCAGCATTATCTCAGCGCTCCGCCAATCCGTCACCTATCCCTCTTCCTGTTCAGTACCCCGTGGACCCCATAGCATATTGCGCCCTGTCTGTCCTCTGTATCGAGCAATTGTCTCCCAATATACAGTGTCGGGGAACCGTTCCGTTACCTCCAATGGATACCCACACTCAGCCAGCTACACATGTCAGCATCATGACCATCGGTTTCTTGAGACCTCGCGCTGCGTGCCGTCAACGGCTCTTCGAGGAATTTCTACCCAATAGCCCTCCCCCAATGTACCGGGACCCACTCAATCTCCGCGCCACCTCCTTCGTGCGCCTCGATTTCCAACAGAGACGAGTTCCCTAACCTGAGGATGCAATGTGATTTTCATGGCACGGAGTAGCCGGTACGATGCTGTGTATGACCGCGACAACGTTATTCGTAAAACGGGATGTTCCGAATGGGATGTGAGGGATGCGGGTGGAACTTCGTCGACGAATAGGAAATCCCACCGCCAATACGTTGCTCGGGGATGTGGAATTTGCCTGACAGATTTATGCTTGCGAGTTTATTTCAGGTCAGGGGTACGCAGCACTGGATGTCAACGGTATGGTGCTGATTCAGCCCGTCCGGCTTGCTCAGCTCAGATTGGACGATGGATTACTGGACGCACTGTATGGCTGAATACAGTAAATTGGTCTGACCTGCTGGACCGTGTCAACTTTCCATGCGGGTTCCTGATGTTTCTTCGTATCAACCTTAATCCCTCACCGCCTTTTCCTGCACCGAATTGTCACTGATTACCAACAGGATTTGTCGCATGCATTGACGAACGGCCATGGCTATTGGCCGACTTTTGCAGTTCAGAAGGGCACTTTTCATCCGCCTTCGCCAGCCTCGTGTCGATATCATTACGCTTGAGGGCTGTGGCCCAATGCTGACGAATGTGATGGCTTCCTACAATGTATTTCGACCAGGCCAGACAACAAACAATGGTATCAGCGTCTTGACGGAATTACGATGACTGGAAGAGCCCACTCGGTCATACACAATCCCGATTCCCAAGAATGTTCTCCAGGATGAGAAAACAACTTGAGCACGCCGTAGGCAGAGAGCCTACATATGTGGCCGTTGCGATGTTCTTCTCCGAGCTTGCAGCGGCCATAGCAAACCACTCTATCACAGGATTACACAAATCATCTTACCTCGCAAGAGATTTCAGAAAATATTATCAAACCATCAAAATCCTTGTCGAATCGTCCTCACACGACCGCCGAGTGGGGAACGGGCCTGAGAGATGTTCCCTGTAACTTGAACGGATCAATTGTCTACGTAGGATGGAATATTGGAACATCACGTATGAGCTTATTCTTTGCTTAGAGAGGAGAGAATCTGATTGTGTACAGGTATCAGTGGACATGGATTAGAAGTATGGTAAAGTGGCAGACTCACTGCACTAGGACATCTAAATCCATATCATCTGATAAATGCCAGGCCCCGTGTAGCTCCTACCCCTTACCCTCTATCCGAGGTGACCACCACTGGCTATGCACAAAACACGCCGGAACACCTTGATTTAGCCCAACCTGACGGCCCGAAAGGACTCTGAAGTTTTGTACATGGATGGTGGCGGAATGACCTACCCACACGACTCCTTCCCAACCGCGTCCTATGGTAATGAGATGCGGACCGACTCGCACGTCCATCATCCTGAGAACCATACGCCTCACTGCCGCCCGACAGAACGTCAATGGTAATGTGGGCGCGAGCGTCCCAAAGAAGGCTGCAAGAGCGATACTTCAGAGCGCACCGTTCCTTCTATCGCATTCAGCGCGACATTCGGGACGCCAGCTAGTGCCACCTGAATATCAACGCCGCAAGCTCCGCGGGTGCTTTGTGTATCCTACAGGGATCGAAAAGCGGCCCGCAGCGACTTTGAGCAGCAGCATCACAACTCTGCGATAGGTGATAGTTAGAAAGGGTCACTGCCGCCCAACGTATGTCAAACACGGATCGTATTGACACGATATCACGCGGAGAAGGTCCCGATCGGCTTCAAACGTCGTGCACCTACTTACCGCTGAACGAGCAGTCTTCTCGACCATGACAGAACCTTGCTGGGGGCTTGTTTTCGAATTGGATCGATTCGTATTGGTCTGATCGGAGAGAAGTGCGTTTTGCGCATGCCGCGGGATTCTTGTTGAACAACAAGAGGCGTCAGCAGAACTCCGAGTCGTCCGTGCTAGGTTTGTGCTTTATGCTCCAATGCTGTAGATACTGTGATGAGGAAAACTGGACGAATCAGGGGGGGCGTATCTAGTTACCGGCACTCACCAGTATTGTGACAGTCGTCGGGACCTGAGGCCTCAGACCTCATAATCCTGTAGAATAGGTATCGTCAACATCACGCGAGGTGGTCGGAAGCGGAACTTATCGATACTCGCCCCTAGTCACCCACACCGCTAGCTACCCTCCTAACATCCTGCAGCGCACGACAACCTCCCTTCCCGGGCGACATTGAATACGCGTACAGTCTAAAAGATATCATACCCAAAAGCATTGACACCCGTCAAGCGAGATCACAATCAAAGTCGTCCTTCATGCTTCGCGTTCCGATATTGGATCGGCTTTCAGGCCTTGAGTGTTTCTCCTGTCGGATTGAATTTCAGGATAGCATCAATGAGCGGACGATTGTAGTATTGTCCAACTTCCACGCGTCACTAGAATACCAGGGACCAGGGGGAGGGATGTAAGATGAACTTTTGACGGGGTGAACACGTCGTTTTGTGGCGTTTAAAAGGACGGGTAACCGGGTACTAACCGTTGTTTTGAAAAAACAATGTCAATCTCAAAGTATCGATAGATGTGTACAAGCCCACTTATCACGTATCTTGGGGTAGAATGCCCCGATGCAATCCCGCCCGGTGTCTGAACATGACCATGACCACACACACCCGGGTCGGATGGCGTTGACCACAAAGCCCCAGGAGACACCGCTTGTTTCGAGTCGTAGCGTCTGTTGCCGTCCGACACCTCCGTGAGTGCTACAGGTTTATGGTAGAGGTGACCATAGACGGTGAGCGAGTGCTGATAGTAACGCGTCTCGTCTGGCTTGTGGATCGTCAGTGCGTCTCGGCCCATGGTGTATGACGGTATGACCTGCTATGACAAACTTCGGGCTTTGCCGTGCTGGAAGGAAACACTCGGAACAAGCGTCAAAGCAAAAACTTCGAGCTCGACTCAACTCACCTAGCAGCAACTTGCAATGCCTGTCCATTCCACGACGTACATCGCTGATATGAAAAACCGGACAGGGAAATGCTTCTTTATTTCGAAATAAACATCGAGGGATCTCTGGTTGGTGCCAGGTCCCGGCAACTCAACGGAGTCACCTTGAACACCGAGATGAACAACACTCTGGTGAGTCATTACGCATACCACACGGTCAAAACAAGTTGAAGACGATTGACTGACTCGTAGAAAGTAGATTATCCTGGAATTTTTGCTCCAAGATTTGAAGAGATACGGTCGTGAGGGGAGGTACCCAGGCAATTTCCCTCCTAGGTCTCGCGCCGTCTTGAATGG